ATGGCGTGCCGACCCCCAAGAAGAACGGAGCTAGTTAGTTGTTTGGTCTTATGCCCATAATGAAAGCAGATAAGCAAAAGAATAACAGGGAGAGAGGAGGCTGAAACAGAATAAGTCTGCTAGAGTGGTGCAGTCAGTGTTAGAGGAACGCTGTGGAGACCCAAAGAAGATATGGTGTTAATTTAAAGTCAGTCATTGGGCAATCACTTTAGTTCTGCAGGGTAAGATAAGTCCTGCATATGTGGACTCGACGAAACAGTCGCTGGAAGACTTTGCATGGTAAATATACATTGCGTGTTCGCAGTCCTTTCTTAGCGGAGGTCTAAATGACTTGTACCATCACAAATGTAGAAGAGCGAAGGGGCGGCGCATGTAGACGTACTACTCGCTGGAGGTGCGCAAAGTATGAGATTGGCATCCAGGAGAAAGGTTGACTAATTAAATGATGTGATACCTTTATTGAAAGAGGCATCAGGTAGTAGTTGAAACAAGTGTTTGAATCACATTCAGGCAATCAGTGTGGCAAGGCTCAAATACAGATGCGAGTATGATGCGCCTTAGTGGAGATGGTGATGTAGAAGAGTTATTTAAATGGAGAGTTCCTCCTGCGTAATGACTTGCGTGAAGTAAACGTCAGATTCTGATTAGTGCAGGAAAGTTGACTACTATTTGAGCAAAAGATAAAATTGCATGGTTCCAATGGCTGGCTCGGAAAGGCTGGAGACGGTTGATTGTTGAATGATAGGAAAAATCCGGAAGAGTGGTGCACACAAGTGGCCACTGTATAAAATGAGTGTTGAAAGATAGATGCGAGTGCCATGCCAGAAGGGTAATCATTGTAACAAGGAGTAGGTCATAATATACTGACATAAGCTTAGAGTGCTGACTCATTGAATGAAAATCTAATCGAGATCAGGAAGGCCTGTAGCAGGATTGGAAATCGGTGGTGAATATGATTACTTCTCACTACATCCACTTGAAGGACAACAAACTCGTAAGATATTGGAAAAAATAAAGATAAAGGAGGGTGTAGGTAGAAGAATTGGCAATATAAAGTGAGATTGAGAGAAAAGAATTCAAAATCAGGAACCAGGACAAGAGGGGTAGGGATAATGAAATCTTTAAAGGAAAACTATTGAAAAAGATTGTTTTAACATGTTATTTTGACGAGTTGTATTTCGATGCTAAGGCCTTTCACTGAAGATGCTGCCGAAACGTTTAGGAATGTGGAAATTCATTGGTTCGATACTGGAGATTATCATAACTTCTCTACAAGGCCCCCACCAAGTCGTAAAGACGAAGGAAACTGCAACTAAATCTAAGATCACACTATCCTGGTTAGCATATCCAAAATTATAGCCCCTGCTTTTTGCTTATAAATAGACTTCGAGACTACCAGTAGATCATATTTATGAGATATATTCACTATATTTCTTTAAGGTAATTAAGGTATGGTAATTGAATTTACGCACAATGATATGAGTAGGCCTTAGGTCTCCATTTAATTTCATATAGCCTCGCTTCCCAAAAGATATGGGAAATTCAAACTTGCACTGTGAACCAAGGGAACTCGTAGAAGTGTAGCGTAGTGGTTAGCGTGTAGAGATTATACGATGCACTATCACGGTTCGAGTCCTACTAGGGGTGCTGATTAGACCTAGTCGAGGTCGAAATTGTGGTCTAGCCTAGATAAGGATACCTTGTGGGAAGCAAGACTATGTGAAATTCAATGGAAACGTAAGGCTTATTGATATAATTGTGCAAAAATCCAACTCCAGGTCCTTCATCACCTTTACGAAATAGGAAATACATCTCATATACATGATCTACTGGTAGTCCTGAAGACCTACAAATGCTTTTTTTGTATATCAAAACGAGGACAGTATGACCTTTGATTAAGTCGCAACTTTGTCGGGGCCTTATGGCGTATTCATGATAATCTCCAGCATCGAAGCAATGACTTTGCAAATTCCCAAACGCTTCGCCAGCACCATCAGTAAGAGTTACCAGCTACAACCTTCACCACCGATTTCGTATCCCACCTACAGGCCATTTGTTTTTTCATTCGGAAAGTCAGTACACCAAATTTCTGTCAGCTACTTCCCCGTGTCCTGTTTAACTGGCAATCTGTTCGCTCCCTGTCAAAGTAACATTCGAAGACAATCATATACGATAATTTTCTTCTAAACCATCGTAGTGTCTCTGACCCTCTCTAGTCCAAGGCTCCTGGCTTCGCATTAATTTCCCTCAATCACATTTTATGTTGCTAAGTCTTCTTTGTGCACCTGCAGGTATCTTTATTTTTTCTGATTGTTTCAAAGTGTACTATCCCTCAAGTGGATAAATGGAGAACCAGGCCCCTCCACCATCGATTTCGTATCTCATCCTACAGGCCTTCCTGATCCCGATTGGTTTTTATTTAGAAGGTCAGTACGCCAAACTTCTGCCAGCTGCTCCCTCTTGCCCTGTATAACTGGCTATTTGTTCATCCCTCGTCAAAGATGAGACGAACGAAGTGTTAAAGAATGAGGAAGATGGAACAACTATAAAAGCGTGCTTACATCTTGATAAATGAGCTGACTAAGCGTGGTGAACCGTCGGAAATGGCATGTTTGGTGTTGGAGGAGGCTAGACCCTTAGCCGACTTGATCCAGACGTGCAGCGAGCCAAGATGATCAGGATTCATATACGCGACTGAGTGGCCTGAACGTGCCGATATAGCGCTGTCAACATCAGAGCTGCTGCTACCAGGCGTTTGGCTGCTGCCAAGGGTGATGAACTTGAGAGCCATCAGAAGAGTGCCTCGGTTGAGGAAAATGCTAGTGGGAATGCTGCTCTGTCGCTAGAGGTTGGGAAGGTGACATTTGTAGTATTTAAGGATTCAGAGACATATAAAAATGAGTTATGGCTTCCCCACTTTATTTTATAAGTAGCATAATAATATCATGCTAAAATTAATTTAGTGGGAAACTTCCAATAAGCTGAAAAAAATATTCAGAGCATTAAGAAGTGAAGCAATAAAAACAGTACCTGTCACCTTGATAATTAACCTTGTTATTTGGGTCTGAGTAGTGAAACGTGACGATCGGAGGGCATGTTTGATAAAGGGGATTCCGTAAACAGCTTAAATTTTAAGTCAAACATGATATTAATGCTGGTATAGCCTTCATTTCATTTGAGAAGGCGGGTGATCGATTGGCCCCTAGATTGGCCCCACCGGGTCCCGAAAGAGGGTTGGGTAGAAAGAAGACCTCGGCTTATCGTAATACAACCTTGATGACTCCGTGCTGAGCTTTCGTCCGCCATGCGACGGACATCCTTAGAGCCAGGAACCATTATTCATGAACAATCACCAAAACATCCAAACCAAGAAAGGTAGCCAGCTGAGATCCTAATTACTTCTTATGCCTCACTTTACAATTTTAATGAAACGATTCATGATCTGGTTGGCTGTTTTATGCTTGTCCTAATGCATGTAAGCAGGGCAAAGTGATGCAGGAAGGGAGCGGATGTGGTCACAACTTTTGTAAATGTAAATAAATTAGCGTATGATCCTGTAAGGCTCGGTCTTGTTAGCGCTTCGTTGATGCGTGTTCGTGTGTGTATGCAATAACCATTAATTTGTTGGCAATTTTGTGTCCCAAAACAGACTCCAGCTTAGTCAAGCCTTCTTTTCTTACTCAATGGCTCTTCCTGTTCCATTCAATTCTCTCTCTCTCCTTCTCAGTCTAGTAAGCAGCCGGAGATAGTTCTTGCTTAGTTTCCTGCATTCGTTCCTTTTATTGGGGATGTTCTTTGTTTCTTTAATTTTAATTGACTCCCTGGATCTTAGGCTTAGCTGTGAAGTTTCCATATCCTGCAAAACATTGGGATTTAGACCACTTTACCTGATGTCCTTTGTGACCACATGTTCAGCCACCCCAATTTCTGAATCCATAAACCTTTTCAAGTGGTTCTGTGTTCTGATAGCCTCTTATGCATGGGCCGACAAGTCTCCCTCACATAAACACTGCCACATAAGCACAAACCTTATAACACCCTGATTTGCAGAGGGCGTCTCAAACAATGGTTCCCTTTCTCTCTGTTTCTTATTATTTTGAAATCGCTAATAGTTAGTGCTAGCGGATAAGTATTCTCAAATAAGATTTTTTTAACCATTTCCATCTCCTGCTCCTGATGACTTTCGTCCGCTAGACGTAAACTTCTTATTATCACTGACTTCATTACCCCTAACTTAACACCATAAGTATGATTTGAGAAAAAATTAAGAAGGAAACCTGCATTTGTGGGTTTTTATATACATCTCTACCCAGTTTGCAGCTTTACTTAATAACTAGGACATCTAAAAAGGCTAGCTTAGTGTCATTTTCTAACTCCATTGTGAATTTATTCACCTTATCTACACTCTGTGAGCATGGCAAAGAGTGTTTGGAAGACTTCCCTGGGTTAAGAAATAGAGCATATAAGGCGAGTAAAATTACTATGGAGTTATAAAAAGACAGTAAGTTACCCTTTTTAGATGTCCTAGTTATTAAGGAAGGCTAAAAAACTGGGTAGAGATGTATATAGGAAACTTTCCTCCCATATATCTTATCCGATGCTCCCTCTTGCCCCGTAGGATCCATCTGCTGTCTCCCTAGTCTAAGTATTTCACTCGACCCTTGCCACCCCATCTGTGCTACTCGAGGCGTTATTACCCACACTCTGCATCTGGGAGACGAATTTGAAGCTAATGACCCCGAGTAATTCTCATGGTCAAGCCTTTGCCTGGTAGACCACATCTATGAGCAAGCACGTCTACTGTTAGCCAACTAGCCTTAGTCCCTGCCGCATATATCACCCTTCTTTCCATAATACCAAGCTTAGGACTTTCTTGTGAAATCTCAGCATTTGTGGGTTGGCATACAAGAGACTGGAGCATAAGAAGTCATATACATGCTATAATCGATAGAAGCACGATGGATGCGGCGGAGGCTAAAGCTAGTTGACGAACAGTAGATATTTTTCGCATTAAGTATTGTTTCAAGACTACCAGTAACTCAGTAATATGAGATGTATTTACCCAATTTCGTTTAAGGTGATGAAGGACTCGTAGAAAAATTTTCCTACAATGATATGAGTTGAGCTGACGCTTGCATTGAATTTCAAATAGCCTTGCTTTCCCAAAAGTTATTCTCATCCAGGGTGGACTGTAGTTTCGACCTCGCATCGGCCTTATCAACACCCTTAGCGGGAGTCGAACCGCGACAGTGCAGGATGGGAGCTTGGCACGTCAGCTCAACTCATATCATTGTGGGAAAATTCTTCTACCAGTCCTTCATCACTTTAAACGAAATTGGGTGAATACATCTCATATTACTGAGTTACTGGTAGTCTCGAAACAATACTTGATGCGAAAAATAACGTATAGTAGTGGATTGTTATAGCAAAACATACGTTTGCTTCATCGACAATCCCACCAAAGAATATGATATGTCAAAAGGCCTGGCCTTCCTTGAAAATTCACATTTTCCCAGTGACCCAAAGGCACTCGTGGCAGTGTAGCTGAGTGGTTAGCATGTCAAGCGCCCATCCTGCGCTGTCGCGGTTAGACTCCCGCTGAGGGTGTTGATAAGGCCGATGCGAGGTCGAAACTGCCGTCCACCCTGAATGAGGACAACTTTTGGGAAAGCAAGGCTATGTGAAATTCAATGGAAACGTCAGCTCAAATTATATAATTGTGGAAAAATTCTTTTACCAGTCCTTCATCACCTTAAACTAAATTTGTGAATACATCTCATAGAACAGTAGATATGTTTGATTATAGACGTGATCCATGAAGCAAGGGCTTGACCATGAGAAGTACTCGGGGGTCATTAGCCTTAAGTTAGTCTCCCAGAAATAGGGTGTTGGAAATAACGCCCCGAGTAGCATAGATGGAGTGGCAGGGGTCGAGTGAAATACTTAAACCAGGGAGACAGCAAACGGACCCGATGGGGCAATATGGCACACTCTGATCAACATTCTCAGCACAAGGGTGAAGGTGGGTGAGGGGGTAGGAAATACACAGTGGGGTGTGGAGAGTTCTGAGGAAATCCGCTCAAAAAGGTACACTATAACACATTTAAATAAGCAAAGAAAAAAATCGTGGTAGTGAAAAGGTGATACGAGGATATAGGATTGGTGATCAGCCTAGGGCGGAAGGAGAGATACCACTATTGTTTAGTTGTCAATTAGTCAACTGTCTCTTAGACATGTTGTAGTGTGGTGCTAAGACTTGCAATAATCACTGACGATGCCGGCGAAACATCTGGGAATATACCCCGTCCATGGTCCGAATCTTGAAAATAGCATGCACACTATGGACTCTGGACTAGGTGCGTTCCTCTAGGCCTTCCCACCATTATAACTGAGTTGCGAAAACAAGGCCAAACAACTTCTATAATTATCCAAATCACTGCACTAAATAAAGTCACTATTTTTAATGTGATCACCCTTTGTCGTTTAAAGTGATGTAAGACTGGTAGTTAAATTTTCCACAATGATATGGCATGAGAGGTAGACTCTACGTCAAGGAGTAAAATTAGGGAGACTGCAGAAATAAACAAGGCTAACATCTTAAAAAAGAGGAAGTGTAAAATCGAATCGAAGAAAAGCTGGTTTACTAAGAGTTCCTTAATATGTTGATGGTGACGTATCTTTGATCTCGTTTTAAAAGGCGAGTATAAGGCATTTGTAAATTAGCCTCATAGGAAACTGAAGAGAGATTGCTTTGAAGTTATTACAGCTGGATTGTGCGGAGAAAAACTCGCCTCACTGTTCTGTAGCTCATGCTAAGATGACATCTATCATATTAAAGATATCTCCAGAGCCAGAAACTGTCGCTTACGAAAAATATACTAAAAGCACTAAGCCAAGAAAGATAGCCCTGTTTGTTCATGCAAGAAGATGACTGCGACCACACCCAGATCCTCTTCCTGTCTCAATTTCATAAAGTAACTGATCAAATCATATGATGCCTCAGTAGAATCACAAAATTAGGTATAAGAAGTACGTTTCTAGCCGACCAGTTTTCTTGCTTGAGTTTTTTTGTCGAATTTTTTTGTAAATGATAGTTACTAGCTCTGATGATTTGTCACATGCTAGACGAAAGCTCTGAGCTGATTCATCGGGGCCACAGGACGGTGAGGTCAGATCTTCTTTGCACAACCCAGAAGTCACAACACTAAAGCGATCCTCTTTCGGTTTTCAGTGATGCCAATTAACGAATCCCTGCTAGCCGACTTTCCGAACGAAATGAAGGATATGCCAACATGTAATAAACTGAGTCAAAACTATTTGTTAAAGGGAGAGAGGGCGCGGGAAGAAAAGTTGAGCAAGAGGCGACTTGAGTTGTTTTGGATCTATTTAGGGATTTCCAAGCCCTGATTCATCGGAGTCACAAGCCGGTGAGTCGAGGACTTCGCACAATTCAACAACCTCCATTTCAAGGCAGTCCTCCATCAATCGGAGATGAGGCAAATTTAAAAATAGGGTTATTCGATAATAAGTATGACTTTCATTAAAGCAATGACTGAAGAGCTGGTCCAAGGGTCATTTAGCATCTACCAAACTTATTTAAAAGTGCCCTATATAAGAAATCTAATAAAAAGGTAATTTGCGATATATGCTATGAGATTGTGGAAATGCAGCAAATTTGTAAGTAATACTCAGTTTATGATTCAAGACAATTTATGTGATCAGCTGGACTCTACAGCTTGATGAGCACACTTCTTAGAGCAATGCAAATCCATGAAAAAAAGCTTGGTGACTCAGATGAAAAAATATCAAAAAATCTATCGTTCTCGAGCCAAAGGTCACAACATCTTAGTCATCATATGCATTTAGATTTTTTGCCAGTTT